CCAATAAGAAGAATAATACTACTAAGACTAATAATAAGAAGAATAATAATAATAAGAATCACACTACGAATGATAATAAGACGAATGCGAATAATAATAATAATGAGACTAATAATAATAAGAATGAGAAGAATAAGATTACTAATACTAATAATACCTTTCATAATATAGTAATAATAAGAAGAAGAAGAAGGATAATAAGAAGAAGAAGAAGACGAATAAGAAGAATAATAATAATAAGAAGAATAATATTAATAATAATAAGAATACTAATAATACTAATAAGAATAAGAATAATAATAAGCAGGCTAATACGAATTAGAAGACGAATAATAAGACGAATAAGAAGAAGACGAAGAATACGAAGAAGACAAATAATAATAATAAGAAGACTAATAATAATCAGACGAATAATAATAATGATACTAATAATAATAAGAAGCAGAAGAAGAATAAGAAGAAGAAGAAGACGACGAAGAAGAATAAGAATAATAATAATAATAATAATAATAATAAGAAGAATAATAATACGAAGAATAATAAGAAGAAGAAGACGAATAAGAAGAATAATACGAATAATAAGAAGAATAATACGAAGAAGACAAATAAGACGAATACTAATAATAAGAATACGAAGAAGAAGAAGAATAATAATAATAATAATAAGAAGAAGAAGAAGAAGCATACGAATAAGAACAAGAAGATGATGATGATGAGGAGGAGGAGGATGAGGAGGGAGGAGGAGGCGGAGGCGGAGGCGGAGGCGGAGGCGGAGGCGGAGGCGGAGAAGGAGAAGGAGAAGGAGAAGGAGAAGGAGAAGGAAAAGGAAAAGGACAAGGACAAGGAGAAGGAGGATGATGAGGAGGCGGAGGCGGAGGCGGAGGCGGAGGCGGAGGCGGAGGAGGTGGAGGAGGAGGAGGAGGAGGAGGAAGATGAGGAGGAGGCGGAGGAGGAGGAGGAGGAGGAATAATAAGAATATTGATGCGAATAATAATAATAGTAGTACTAATAGTAATAAAGCGAGTAATGTTAATAATAATACTACTAAGACGAATAGTATTAAGAATAGTAGGAATAATACTAAGAAGAAAAACACGAATAATACTAATAATAGTAATAAGAAGAATGCGAATGATAATACTAATACTAATAAGAATAATAATAATAATGCTAATCGTAATAATAAGAATAATACGAACCATAAGAGTAATAATAATACTACTAATCATAACAATAAGAATAATAACAATAAGAACAATAATAATACGAAGAATAATAATAATAAGACTAACGAAAAGGCGAATACGAATAATAAGAATAATACTAAGACGACGAATAAGAATCATAATAATAATAATAACAACAATAATAATAACAATAATAATAATGCGAATGATACTATTAAGAAGATGCGCAATCACAATCAGAATAATACTACTCATAAGACGAATCAGACGAATAATACGAATATTACGAAGAATAATAATGATAATATTAATAATACTAATAATCATAATAATAATACTAATAATAATAATAGTAATACTAATAATAATACTAATACTACTAATAAGAAGAATACTCAGAAGAATACTAATAATAATAATAATCACAAGAAGAAGAGGAGGAGCAGGAGGAGGAGGAACAGGAGGAGCAGGAGGAGGAGAAGGAGGACCAGGATGAGCAGGCGAGGAGAGCATGATGATGGGGAAGTGCAGGGGCGAGGACGACGGCGGCAGAAACTTGACCATGAAGGCCTTCGCGGGTCTTTCGCTCGATTAGCCGCTCGGAAGCTTCTTGGAGCCCTCTCGGGCCCTCTTGGGGACCTTGGAGCCCTGTTGGGGACATGTTGAAGGGCATCGATCAAGGAAGGGGGGTCCCTTGTAGCCCTGCCGCTGGTAGAGCCAGGGGCATCGTCTCTTGGAGCCCTCTTGGGGTGCTCTTTGCAGCCCTCCCGGCCGCTCACTGGGCCGTTCTGGAGCCTTTCTGGGCCCCTCTTGGGGCTCTTTGGAGCGATTTTGGGGCCATCTTGAGGCCTCGGAAACCGATCGACATCCTTGGGACGTTCCGCAGCCACTTGGACCCGTCTTAGGGTGGTTCTGTAGCCTCCTGAAGGCATGTTCAGGGTCATATTGAGCCATCTTAGGCTATCTTGAGCCATCTTGGAGGCCTTCTTTGGGCTATCTCTCGGGAGCCATCTGGGGCCATCTTGGACGCTCTGATCGCTCGTATGGGCAAGCCCCTCCTGGAAGGGGAATGTGGTTGGAATGGTCAAGGGTCGAACATCATTCGACATCGGCGTTGGTAGCAGCAGTCTCGCCTTCACTGGTTATCACTATTTGGTTGACCACGCAGTTCTGTATTTCAATCGTTGTAGGTTTAAGCGGCCAACGCAGTTGAACCGGCCAGTTCAATAAATACAGAGAGAGAGAGAGAGAGAGAGAGAGAGAGAGAGAGAGAGAACGAGAGAGAGAGACGAGAGAGAACGAGAGAGAGAGAGAGAGAGAAAGTGAGCGAGGGAGAAGCCTTGAACGTCAAAGGTGCATTGGTAAAGTTGTGAGACAAGAAATGGCGCGGCTCTGAGACAATGAGATGCCGTGCAAAACACGGCAACAATTCATGGGCACGGAATGTATAAAACATCTCTTCATGCAGCGCCCACTCGCCAAAAAGGCCGGGAAGGCGGACGACACGGGCAACAGGGGGCAGTTGAGGGAACGACATCCCGCAGCAGGGGCAGAGGAGGTAGAAGTAAGAAACAATGACCAATCTCTAAACCAGCTAAGCCCAGAGGGCTGGCAGGATTCGGGCGTCGCCGGATGTTTCCCCTTTGCCAGGGGAGCCCAGATGGCCTCAAGAGCATCCCCGCGAGGCCCAGGGAGCCCTTGAGTCTCCCATCGTAGGGGCCCTCTAAGCCTGGAGCCCCAGGAAGGTTGTTTTTTTGTAGGCTCCGGCGGGGGGGGAGGGAGGACTTTGAGCGAAGCTCAAAGGCGAGCAATGTGAGCGATGAGCCGCCGTTGTGGCTTGCAACGGTGCGCAGCTATTATTTGCATATTACTTGCCACTTTCGACTTGGTATCGGATCTGGCCTCACTACCGAATGGCTGGCTCTGTCTTCACTGAGTATTCCTGGGCACAGTTTGGTGGACTCCGGCAGGTTTATTTGCGTGGAGGGGGAAAAAGGGGGGAGGGGCGTGGCGAGGCCCGAAAGAAATTACAAATGGACTTGACGCACATCGGCTCTCACTTGTACATCTTTTCGGCCCCGTGCTCTTTGAATGAATCAAGCGCGACCCCAATTAGGGAAACGCTTCCTATTGCATGGGCGCAATGCTTGGTATTGCTTGGCATTGCTTGGCATTGCTTGGAACGGGCACAGTAAGAATTCGAGGCGCTAGGGGCGGGGCACCCGGGGAGCCCTGGGAACCCGAGGAACCCGGGGAACCCAGGGAACCCGGGGAACCCGGGGAGCCCGAGGAACCTCTGGGCAACGGGCAAAGGAACATTAGGAACCACCAGCCTTTAACCAAGTAGGAACCCTTTTAGGCAAGCCTATTTGGGGAAAGAAGCGTCGGAGGTGGCTGGATGGGGGTGATGCCATGCAGGTGAACTTGCTGGAGTTGACGGTAAACGTCCCCCAGTGGCTCTCAACCCCAAACAGTAAGTTGAATAACCTAGTTATCGCCCAGGGGCTTCAGATTGATGTGAGAATCCTGCGGCGCGGGTGGCGGTTGGCAGAGGCGGCGCTCGTCAAGAGCTTCGAGGCGCGCCACGCGCCCGCGGCTGCTGCCATCACAGTCGCCGCCGCCGTCATCGTCGATGTCACCGTCGCCATCCCCGTTGCCATCGTGGTCGTCGTGGTCGTCGTGGTGGTCGTCGTCGTGGTGGTCGTCGTCGTCGTCGTTGTCGCTGTCGTCCTCGTCGTCGGTGTCGTTGTCGTCGTCGTCGTCGTGGTCGTCGTGGTTGTCGTGGTGGTGGTGGTGGTGGTGGGACGATGGGGAGAAGGAGGGGCAGGATGAGGAGGAGGATGAGGAGAGAGAGGAGGAAGGAGGAGAAGGAGATTGCGTGGATAATTGCCTGCCTGATCAACTGCTCTATAAGCATGAAAGCACAGCCGACGAAAGGGGGCCTCACCCATCCCCAGGCCTAGCTTTTGCGACGTGGGGCGGCCTCACGAGAGCTCTGTTGTAGGTGGGTGCCGACCTGAGCTCTTCGCCCCGTGTCCTGTCTTGCAAGCCTTGTACCCTCAACCATTCCGCGCTCGAGTGAACCCCAGCATTGTGCTGATGGTCCGCTCTCCGTTCTTCTTGTGCGGCCTGATCCCAGCGCTGTAGCTGATTCTGGTCTCCAGCTTCGCCTTTCCCATCTCGCTTAGTGGCGACAGATATTGCGGCCTCAGCGCGGCGTTCTCGCTCGCGCTGCTCTCGGCGCTGTAGCTGATCTCGCTGAGTAACGACGGAGACTGCTGCCACTTCTCACCCTTCCGCACGGGCTGCTCTCAGCACTGTTCTGACGACCTCGGGCTCCAGCTTCGCCTCCCGCTTCTCGCAGAATAGTGCTGGATCCTCTTGTCATAGTTTACTTTTCTCGGACGCCCAGTGCTGTGGCTGACATCGGGCTCTAGCTTCGTCTTCCCCATCTCGCTGCGTAGCGCTAGATATTGGGACCTCTGCGCGGCATTCTGGCACGCGCTGTTCCCGACTTGGGCTGACCCGTGGACTCCGTCCACGAAATCTGCACGAACTGGCACGTAGTGGTGAACATGATGCCAAACGGCTGACATGATGTCGTGGGGCTCGAACTTCGCATTCCGCGCATGCTACTGCATGCTGCTGCTCGCTGCCGCTGCTGCGTGCTGGTGGTGATGCTTTCCGCTGCTGCGTTCTGTTGCTGCTTGCCTTTGGGGGTTGATGCGGGCGTCTTTGGCCGCGCCAGGATAATCTTGACCCGTCTTGAGGTCGTCATTGGGCCAAGGCTGGAAAGTCTTCACGCTTCGCGTATACCCACCAGTCATACCGCCCTCTGGACTTCTCCTTGCGGGCCGCGAATCAAAAAGTATACCCACCAGTCCGTAGCCCCCTTGGCTCAAGCCTGGCTCAAGCCGTCTCGGCTCGAGCCCGCCCCTGGACAGGTTCGCGCCGGGCCGGCCTCGCGATGGCCTCGCCCCCCTCGGGCGCCGCCCTGCGGCGGCGGCAGCGCCTGGCCGCCGTCGCGCGCGCCGGGCTGCCGCCTGCTGCGGCCGCGGCCGTTCCCGCCGCCGCCGCCGCTGCCTCCTCCTGGGAGGCCGGCGCGCGGGAGGCGGCGGCGACTGGCGGTGGCGGCGGCGGCCGGCGGCGAGCCTCGCCGCCGCCGCCGCTGCCTTCCCCCTGGGGGCTGGCGCCTGGGCGGCTGGAGGCGGCCGGCGGCGCCGTTGCCGCCGCAGCCGCCGCCGCCGCCGCGGCCGCCGCCGCCTCCGCTGCTGCCGCCTCTGGCTTCCCCCAGGCGGCGGCGGCGGCCGGCCGGCGCGCGGCCGGCGTCGCGGCTGCCTTCGCGGCGGCCGCTGCCGCCGTTGCTGCCGCCGCCGGCGGCGCCTAGGCGGAGCCTCGCCGCCCCGGCGGCCACCTGCGCCTCGGCCGCCGCCGCCCGCCGCCGCCGCCGCTGGCCGCCGCCGCGCCGCCTCTCCGCTGCGCCGCCGCTGGCCTCCCCCGGCCGGCGGCGGCGCGGCCGGCGGCGCCGCGGCCGGCGCCGCGGCTGCCTTCGCGGAGGCTGCCGCTGCTGCCGCTTGCCGGCCGCCTGCCGGCCTCGGCCGGCACGGCGGCGGCGGGCGGCGGCCGGCGGCGTCACGACCAGCCCCGCTGCCAGCCCCACGGCCGGGCCCTACAGCCAGCCCACAGGCAGCCCCCCGGCCAGCCCGGCGGCGCCGCGGCTGGCGCCGCCGCGGCCGCCGCGGCTGCTGCGGCCGCAGGCGCGGCGGCGGCGGCCGCGGCGGCCGCGGCCGACGACGACGCCGAGGCCGACGCCGAAGCCGAGGCCGACGCCGAAGCCGACGACGACGCCGGCGCCGACGCCGACGCCGACGACGCCGACGTCGACGACGTTGACGCCGACAACGACGACGCCGACCCGCTGCAGCACCACAGCTGCCGCAGCAGCTGCTGCAGCAGCAGCAGCGGCAGCTTGCCTCCCCCCGTTTCGTCGACAGAAGACAACGTCCCAGAGGGGGATCGAGGTGCGGTTGAGGCAGAGGCCACGATGCCACCCCCCACATCGTGGTCAGACGATGGCGCCCCAGTGGGGAATCGAGAGGAGGTAGCCTGCAGTGACCAGTGCACAGCTCACACGAACGTCCCCCCCTTTCAGCTGCACCAGCAGGCCAGAGGAAAGGAACGGGAAGTCACTGCGGAGACGGCGGAGGCTGCGGAAGCCGCAGAGTACCCCCCTCTGGTCAAACTGTCCGTCAGCAGTCCTCTGTACCAGCAAGGCAGAGGAATGGAGGGGGAAGTCGCGGCGGAGACGGCGGAGGCTGCGGAAGCCGCGGAATTTACCCCACAGTGCAACCAGCGCGCCAGCAGGCCTTCGGGATGCAGTTTCCAGGGCGCGGCTCATGCGAACGACCCTCGAGAGGAGGCAACATACAGTGACCAGTGTGCCGCTCATTCTAACCGCCCCCCCCTCCAGCAGGACCAACAGACCAGAGGAAAGAAGCGGGAAGTCACGTCGGAGTCGGCGGAGGCCGCGGAAGCCCCCGGACACCCCCCTCAGGACAACCGTTCCGCCAGCAATCCCCCGGGAGAGCCACGCACTCAGCAGGGAGACCACGGAGCTGCCACCCAGACGCAGGACAATGAAGCCATACGCTGGCTCGTTGAGAGAAACCTCTTCGCGCCCATTCGCCCCCCGCCCCCTGTCAGTGAGCCTCTTTTGGGCGGCGCGCCCCCGGCGCCCTCGGCAGGCGTCCAGGGCGCCACCAGAGAGGGAGGCAACACTTCCCACCTGCCAGCGCTGACAGAAGGCCCTCCACAAGGCTGCGAGGAAAGAGCCATCCAAGACGACTCGACCTGCCCCGCGCGAGGATGCATCGCCGATCCCTCCCTATCCTCCTTCAATTTATTTGATATTGCGGCTATCGGCTGCGCCTCCTCCTCTCCTCCCCCTCCTACTGCTCAGGGCGCTCTCACATCGTCCCCTGCGGCTGGGAAAGAGGCCCTGAGACGTGCCCGCGGTGTGGTTGTAGCAGGATTACCAGACAAAGATCGAGCTGTTTCCAAACAGGGGGGCAACGCGACCCCCCCGCCTGCGGCGGCAGAAGACCCTCCACAGGCCCACGCGGAAAGAGCTACCACTGAGGAGTCGACCTGCCCCATGCACACTTACATCGCCGACCCCTCCCTCCCCGCCTTCAATTTGCCCGATCTTGCGGCTATCGGCTGCGCCTCCCCCTCTCCTCCCCCTCCTCCTCCTCCTACTGCACAGGGCGCTCTCGCAGCAGGACGCGGGCGCAACCCGCATCTTGGCACGGGCGAAGCCGAGGCCGACGCCGAAGCCGACGCCGACGCCGACGCCGACGCCGACGACGCCGACGTCGACGACGTTGACGCCGACAACGGCGCGGTTGTGCCATGTCCCCCCCGCGCCGTGCAAGGAGAGCATCCCCAGGCTGAGGCTGAGGCGGGCGACTCGGGCCACTATTCGCGGACGCGCAGTGCTGCGCAGGGCTCTCTTACTGCAGGACATGGGCAGAACTCCCATCCTGGCGCAGGCCTCCCAATTGTGAGCAGTTCCCCCCGCGCCGTGCCAGCCTGGCGGCCAACCTTGAGGCCTGCGTTTCCCCGCGAAGTCCTGCCGGGCGCGCAGCTGGAGCTGTCGCGAGCAGATCGCGAGCCCCCCAGCCAGGGCAGCGAGGCCCTTGCGGTGGAAACTTGCGGCCAGGACACACGGCCACACCAGAGGCCCGACCCGCGGCAGTGGCCACAGCCCAAAGACCCCATGCACGGGGCAGCAGCTGCGCAAAAAAAGGAATCCACAACATCCAGTGGGACCTCCCCGGGGGGACGCCCGGCGAAGCGATGCGACGACTCCAAGTCACATTAGGATCGATGTTCACTGGCACCTGGCACGCTTTCGCCAAGCGGCAGTCTGTGCCCGGCAGCAAGGGCGCGCTCGACCCGCTTCGGCGCGACCCGCAAACCTGCCGCCTCTTTCTGGAGTCCTTCCGCAGCCACAAGTGCGACGTACGGGTCCTCAGCGACGCGCTGGGCCTCAACGTCGACTGGGCCCGGCAGCGGCAGCTGCACCTGGGTCGGTTGCGCCCAGCTCACGTGGCACTGTCTCCCCTAACGGGCTGACACCCTTCTCTCGCACCTGGTCCTCTTGTTCCACTCTTGCTACGCTCTCGGTTGGGTTCTCTTTTTCCCCCCTCTGTCCACTACTCGCGTCGCACACTGTTGGGTTCTCTGAGGTCACCGTCGCCACAAGACCCACTTGCGTTGCCTCTACCGCCCTCTTCCATTTTCACCTTGGTGGCCGCGGTCCGGAGGTGTCGCCCTCCCCACCGGGCGGGCGCCTTCCCCCCTTCCACTGCTCCACTCTTGCAGCGCTCTGTTGGGCCCTCTGCGTGGCGGGCACCTTCCCCCCATCTGGTGTGCGTGCCACTCTTGCAGCGCGTTGTTGGGTCCTCTCTTTTTCCCCCCTCAGTCCACTACTCGCATCGCGCACTGTTCATGTGCACCACTCTTGGAACGCTCTGTTGGGTCCTCTGCGTGGCGGGCACCTTCCCCCCTTCAGG